GCGAAGTTAGAGTCAGTGAGCCCGCCCAGTGTTACTCAAATGCGAGCGTTGATAGTTTTTTGCTTTTCTTTTTTCATATTTTCTCTTGTTCAATATTCGTTTTCGGTATTAGAGTCAGTGCTCAAGTGGATAAAGCCTCTCCAGGAAATCAAAATCGTAAGTAGTTTTATATATCTTTATATACTTAGTTAGTCAAATTTAACAACAAAGTTAATGTTTTACGTTTTGTTGCAGACGCTTCACAACATCAAATTTTTTCTACTTTTTGAGAAATATCCAACGGTGGCTCTAAAGCCAAGAATGTAAGAATCTTTTATTATCTTCAACTTACGATTGTACTTTTCTTTTAAATACAGATTCTAATGTGTTATGTTTTGTTCCCAGATCCTCTACAGCCTTCTCAGTTCCCCTTATCTTCTAAGAATCTTACGATGCCTCAAAAGTTAAGAATGTAAGCACTTTACCACGAAATAATTCTATTCTCTGCAATTCTCTTTCGATTGAAGTCTAGTGTAAAATTATTATCCTAATTTTTATCATTATTAAAATTTAAATTTTTACAAATAACACCGTGTCTTTATGCCTTTAGAAATTCTTCATGGCGACTTTCCTTGGTTCGGTGCAGCATCGATGATAACGTTCTTCACATCTGTGAGTCGCATGCATTTACGTTCCTCCGGTTACTCAATCATGTCGTAGGACGAAAGGTCCGAATCGGCACGAGTGATTGGTTGTATACGTAGAATTTTTGATGAGCATAGTGACCGCGGGTATTTTTTATACCTGTGAGTAGTAACATTTTTTTCAGGTTTTTTATGTATTAGATCAGGATAGGACTTCTTGCACATCGCGATTTTAAATAATTAGAATATATATAACAATTAGAATAGATATAGTTATAACAGTTACTCATAAAATCAAAATATCTTCAATATAAGTATTTGCAAAAATAAAATATCCATATGAATAGATAAATCATAAATATTTATAAATAATTATTATTAAAACAATTTTGTTTGAGCATTTCATAGTGGAGAAGACGGATAGCCTCCGACTTCGTTGTTGAAAAGATGTAGTTATTTATATATATTTTGTTGTAATAATTAATAACTGTTATAATAATTAATAATGCCCAACTTCATTTTCCTTTTTATAATAGTATTGAATGATTGAATTGATTGAATTTTATAATTATGAACTTCAATTATGTATTGTTCAATTATGAACAATTTGAAATATTGTTAATAGATTAGAATTCTTTTCGTAGAAAAATCTATGAAATTTTATGTGCAAGAAGATATTTCGCGACAGACAGATTTTTGAATCAAAGCAATAAGTTTGAACACTGCTTTTGCATTTTCGAAAATGTGCTTTGATGAAGAAGTCGCCTGAGGTTATTTCTATTAATATTTAATTTAGAGTCAATTGTTTGATTTTGATCGTTTCAGTCAGTTATTAAATTTCATAGTATCTTTTTTAATAAATTCAATTCTTGTTCGTGGTCCTCATTCTCTTGCAATTTCAATAATTTCTAAAAGAGTAGAGTTATTAGAGTTTGAAATAAAATAATGCAATAATCCGTTAGATACAAATTACACAAACTAATCATTTTTTTAGTTCAGGATTTTCAGGTTTAACCCTTTCCGTGTTCATTATCAGGATCTCACTCACGTGCCCAGGTGCTACTTGGGTGGGTGAAAGACATTGGGCACGATGATCATAGTTTGTAATTTTATAAAAAATTTTTCAGCGACTGACAGTGTGTTAGTGTATCGTGCACGACGTATTTTCCGCATATGTGTGTGTGGTTAGGATGTGGAATTGCGTCGTTTCTATTGTCCCATTCATTATAAATATTTAAAATATTTAAAATACGAGTTTATTACAATAAACAAATACACTACAATTGTATTATTAATTATACTATCAATTATATAATATGATACAATATAATAATTACAAGTTAACTTGTAATTTCCATAGAAATTATATATATTTTTTCTCNCGGGACGTCCTCTCTAGTTTAGGTCTCTGCGCCCGAGTGGTATGTGTGAGAACCGTGGAGTGAGTGTGTTGGTGTGCCTGTCTTTTGCCATTTTTTAAATATAGGACGATTCGTTAGGATAGGTAGCTTACTTTCTGGTATGCCTGTGTTTAATTATAAGTAGGTAGGGCCGGGCAGGTTGGCACAGTCTCTGGTCGCGTGTCCCTTTTTCGCGTGTCCAACCTGTTTCAGGAAATCTAATTTGAAAAATCGACAGTGAAATTGGTACAAATGGAGCATGCCACTGTTTCTGGTTTTATTCTTCGATTTTTCGAATTTAGTATCGCGGTCGCGGTCGCGGATAGGTTGCGAGTAGGTCCCGAAATGAACGTTTATGTAGGTATTGCTCGAGCACGCACATGCGAACGGACAACGATCACTACGATCGATGGTCGTCCATGTGTATTTGGTTTAGTTTCCGCGATTTATCTTTTCATTTCACCTTTATAATTTATTTTTTGGTTTGCGATTAGAAAGACTCGAGCTAGATGATAAGTTTCAGCGAGCATTGCGCTCGAAAAAAGAAGAGGCTAAAAGCCGAAGAGGCCCGGCAAACTGCCACGAAGAGGGTCACAACAAATGGCTTCTCATCCTCTGGATCATTTAAATGATTCCAGAGCATGGGAGGTCATTCTCGTTACTACTTTGTCACTATGCTCTTTTAGTATTTGTAGTTGTATTTTTTATTTCTTCTCCATCATCATTTTGGGCAAATCGCGGTTTTTCTTGTTAGTGTTGCGAGAAATTGATTACGATTTAAATTAAAGAAATGAAAATCGTGTTTGCTTTAGAGTTACGAATTATGATACCGCGATTGTCTTTTGTAATTTTGATTTAAATTTTTATAGTTTAGTGTTATACATAGTAAAATTTATCTTGCTTTCTATGTTTTAAATTAAATCATAGATTTAATTGCTTTTAATTAATTTTAAAGTGTTAAAATACTTGAAATAACTTTTTGTTCGTACAGTTTTGTTCGTACAGTTCTGTTCGTACAGTTTTGTATTGTTCATAATAATTTTCATTGAATTTAGTTTTAGAGTTAGTGTTGCGACATCGCGAGTTTTCCTCTTAGTGTTGCGGTAATGAATGATCGCGTTTTTTGAAGTAGCATTGCGTTTATAAAATGCCCAAATTCTTCCACTGAATTCGTGGAAGACTGTTCCTGCTTTTGGGTTACCTGATGCAGCTACAAGATCTGTATAAAAGTTATTCATCAGCAATCTCCAGGATTGATTGCAGTGGACGTGTCGGAATTAGTGTTGCGCATTTTAAATATGAGTGCAAAGATTAATAGCGTTGCGTATCTATTTTCGGGAGTTTTAAATATGACGAAGCATTCTTCGCGTATGATTTTGAAAATTCTTTATTTCATAATTAACAGTGTTAGTGTTGCGAAACAAGTTACGGTTTGTTGCTCAGGTTCGTAATTTAAATAATTGTACAGTAGCCCTTCTGGTTATTGTATTGAGAAATGTTTTTTATTAACCCTTCTGGCTACTATATTTCTTTTTCAGTAGTCCTTCTGGCTACTGTGTTAAGTTTTTAGTATCCCTTACTACTGCGTTCATTACTGAAAATACTGCTAGAAAAAAATATATTTTTTATTAGCTATAATTTTGTTAGTTACGAGTTTTAATTAGTTTTAGAATGTAGAATTTTATTATAAATTTAATATATTTAATATATGTGAATGTAAATGATTCCATGTGCCATATATACAAAATGAAATGAGAAAAGTATTGCAATGAAATATTTAAATATTATAATGAAGATTTGAAACTACAAAATAATTAAATCGATATTATTAATTTATTTTGAAATATAAGTTATCCAATTTATTGTTATTGGAATTAATAATAATGATTGTTCGTTATTAGAGTTATTTTTTTAAATCATTTTCTTTATCTTATATTTTTATTGCAGGTCTTTTTATTTAAATTTAAATACTAATCCAATATATAAGTTTGTTTCAGATACATTAACTTACAGAGAATATTAGTTGCAGAAAATATAAAGAGATAATTTAGGAAGGTTTAGAAAAATGGAATAGGTAGGGTGGATCTCCACACGCATCATCTCCACGGGGTGAGACCTGGACAATCGGTATTATTTGATATATAATTATTAATTGCATATATAGCTAAACAATTAATTATATAATTGATAAAATTATTAATTATATGGCAAGTAATACGAATTGATCGGATGCAATCCGATTAGATGTTTGTGTAAATGTACATATCCTTTAGATTAATGAAAAATAAATAGTGGGTAATTTTGATATATGAGTAATTAATTTTGTAATTTCATCCGAATTTGTACATTTTTCGTACAAGAATATTTTAGAAAGTCTAGGATTAAGTATTTCTTCTACAGTGTTTATATTTGTAAATGAGAGGGTTGTTCTTTCTTCTTCTCTTTAATTTCTTTCATATTATATCGAAGTTTTGGTAAAATTTATTTGAGCTGATAGGTTCTTTAATATTTTATTAATAAATTTAGAATTTTAATTTACTATATGAAAAAAAACCATCGTAATACCATAAAACATGGATAAAGCTTTTTTTGATATATAGCAGAATGATTTCGGTTACTAGCTTCACATTTCGGTACTGACAATTATGAATTTTGAAAATCGTATTTCTGGCACATTGTTTGATCAACTTCGATCGTTTTACTTGATGTAGTTCCCCAACTTACCGTTATTAAGTGTAGAGTGCGCTAAGAAACCACTGATTTTTTAGTATGTCGGTATTTCAGTGCATGAGACACGAAGTCGCATATGATGCAAGATCTATTGATATACCTTGTCTATGACTGTTCTTATTCTATATAGAATCGATAATACTGGAAATGATATTTCCCGAAACATAGAACTGAAAAATGCATTGAGTACTAGGTCTATTTCATATCTAAACCATGGTATAACGTTATTTTATGCTATCAACCTGTAGAGGACGCCACTTAAATGTAAACATATTTGAGGTTAAGTCTCATTGTTGAGAATCTATTACACGTGCTTTAGATTTTAAATAACATAATAAAGTGAATTTGATAAAGATATTTAAAGAACTTAAACTTAAAGTAGGTATTGAATAATTAACTGTATTTAACTTTATATTTCCAAATATATTAACTACTTCTGGTCCTTTTAGTTAGCCGATAATTTGAAGTTATGTTACTATTAAATAGTCTTTCAAATTTTATTTTAATTTTATTTTACGTTTATTTAGTTTTACATTTTTATGTTCACAACTCAAAACAAGATTTGTTTTATTTTTAATAAATGGAATTATAATTCTATACTTAGTACTCATTTAATGCATTTTTCAAAATAATTCTAGGTAAATAGTTTAAATATATAGAAACAAAATGGCAAAATCATTGCGTAGTAAATGGAGGAGAAAGTGTAGAGCAATCAAAAGGGTGCGTTATGGAGCAAAAGAATTAGAAAGATTAAAAAAGACATTAGGTATTGATGAGAATGGATCACAGGACGTTGAAATGAGTGAAATGTCAAAAATTGCTACAGGTAGACACACATTACTTCTTAATATGTCATTATTCTTGTATAACAATTCTAACTAGATATGTATTACTTTTTGTCTCAAGTTGTTGATGCTAAAACAATAAAAGAAAATGAACACGCGAAAGAAGATGAACAAGCAAAAGAAAATGAACAAGCAAAAGAAGATGATCAAGCAAAAGAAAATAATCAAGCTAATGATAACACTGAAACAAATGGTGAGACAATGGATGTAGACATCGATGGAAGACTATATAATAAAAGAACAATGAGAGATCAGTATGGTAATTATCCTGTATGGATGAATAAACGAAAAATTGCAAAACACAAGAAGGGTAGAGCAAAATCACAAAAAGGAAACTTTAAGCCACATAAAAGATTAACTAGGAGGCAGAAAAAAGGAATGAAGCAAAAGTAGATTAGATCTATGTAAAATTAGTAGCACTAATGCTATTCCTTCTTTGTATTTGTAACAAAAATAAATTCTATTATAGGAAAATGTTATATTAATGTCTACAATCTTCAAAATTGACAAACATCATTCTAGTTTTTTTTTGTTTTATTATAAAGCTGATTACAGATAATCACAAACATTGCTTAAGTTATAGTTTTACTATACTTTAAGTCTACTACATTCTAAAATATCGTAAAAGCTAAAGAGATGGCAGTGATAGCATGTTTTTTTCTTATAAATTTTCTCACATAAATATTATATCTATAGAAAATGTTCAATATTTTGACACTCTTCTCGTTTGCAACAATAATGTTAAAATTTCATTGAGCCACTGTTCATTGGTATTGTTGATCTGCAACGCAATCTTAAACGATTTTCTAGTTCTAATACTCTATTTGTTAAGTGTTGCATTTTTCTTGTTTCCAATTCGTATTCTCTTAATTTGCTCTTCATTTCATATATCTCCTGCTGCATCAATTGCTATGAACAGAATTACGTTTTTGAACATATATTTTATAAAACATTAATAAAGTGACTACTAACCACATTTTCGATAGATCTCTTCATTTCGTTGATAGTTTCAACAACCGATGCAACCTTGACAGTCATATCCGTCGTTTCTGTGTCTCTCTTTCTTCCTTTTGCAAATTGCTAATAATACAAGTTATTAATTTATTATCCAAACATTTCTTTATTGTGATTTTTACTTATGTCAAGTAAATTTATAATTATTTTCATATAAATTCCTCATTTTAACGAATTATGCATTTTTAAGTATTTTTCAATGAATAATAAATCGTTATTCTATCTCAAACTGTAATGTAACAGCGACATTTATGAAATTTGCTGGTTTTCCAAGTTAACTGATCATAAATATACTATAGAAATCTAAAAAGTTATGATATAACAAATCTCTAAAATATTACAAAATCAGAATTGCGTCAGTTCCCTATTCAGTGTCAGAGTTGGAATCGAATTGTTTCTCAGAAATCAACATAATCCATACATGCCTAGAACGATCGGAATAAAACTAAAAAGGAGGAAATTCTTCAACCCACTGCATCTGCGAACGTATCTCTCCTTTACAAGTCAAATAACACGGCAAGCCATTGTCCGGCATACCTTTTCGAGTTTGGTGAGCCTTTTCAGGATAATCTCGTAGTCCTGATCGAGGTCATCGTCAGCTACCTCGTTTTCCGTATCTGTAAATGGTAGTAATTGCGTCCAACTACAGAACTCGAAATATGTTTGCATTTGCATAAGAATAATAATTGAAAAAATGAGAAAGAGAAGAAAGAGACAGTGAAAGAAAATTTACAATTACGGACCATGCGACGAAACTGTCGGACGCTTCGTCGTCGTTGTTTCATGGAAATCGTTCTCCAAGTCCCGAGCCTCGAACGCAGTATCTTCGGTGTCTGAAAAAAAAAAAAGAAGTTGAAGCAATCTGATCTGAAAGCAGATCCTCAAGCTTGAAACAAGGATCGCTGTTTCTGGTTTTTGTGCGAAATATTGGTACTGGAAACATGAAGTACAATTATTACCTATACTTCGTAATATATATGATAGTTTCTTTATTGAAATTTAATCTTGCAATAAATTTTCTTCAACGATTGCCTCCTTCTACTTTATGAAGCAAGTGCTTTTATCTTGGTGATTAAATTCTATTTTATAATTAAATCTAGTATATTAATACATTGTAGTATATTCCAGTAAAAATAGATAGGGTTTAAAGCTAATGATGTTTGTATAAAAAAAAGAAATCAGGTTTATTATCAAGGATATTATAGTAAAATTAAATTAAATTTTTATACAGAAGAATTAAAATGTTTCTTCGTGATAAAATCTCTATCTACTAATTACAAATGGAATTTTTATTTTCTAATTTCTTATTACTTAACTAACAGCACCTAATGTAGCTACTAATTATAATATCCTTTTTTCAAACTTCATTACGTTTAACAATTATTTCTCGTAGGTATACCGTTTACTTTTCTATATTCTGCAGGACGCAATGATTTGATCATATTTCAAGCCATGTATCACTCAAGCTTAAAATTCAGGACAGTTTACCATATCTCATTCTGTTCTCGGAAACTCAGCCAATTTCGAGAGATCTTGAACTTGACCATCGACAACCATTTTTCACTCACACAGTCAAGCCTCGTGTAAATAGCATTGAAGTTTAAGATCAATGGGAACGGACGCGACAAAACGGCGTCGTTCGTTCGGTAAAAATAACACGGTCGTTCGTTCATCTAAAATTCGCGAACCTAGAGCGAGACCAGAACAACAAGAAGCCATTCAAAAACTTGTTGTTCGACTGGTGCCTAGCAGCGTGTGAATGGCGTTCCGTGAACAGCGTTTAAATGGGTTGAAAAGTGCCACTTCGTGTATTTCTCAATAGCATATTATTCACTGTCAAGTAATCTCGAAAACAAATTTCGTCTTTGGCGAGTAGAATTTTTCCGACAATTACTCTCACCGTTCTTTCGACAGGATTGGCCGTCTTTTTGTAGTTGGAAACCGGGCCTGCAGTGACACTCGTAGGTTCCGGGTAGGTTTCTGCAGAGTTGATCGCAGGGCTTCTCTGTCACGCATTCGTCGACATCTGTAACGTTGGTGGACAAGTTATGCTAATTCGTGCAAAAATTAATTGCATAAACGTGACAGCTGCACGGGATCGATTGATCCATCGCGAAGTCCTTCGGTTTCCGGTCAGCGGTATTGCGCAAATTTGCCGCAATGCAACGCTACCGTTCGATGAATTTCTCGAAATTGGCTCGAGGATTTTACGGAATAAATTACTGTCAATGTAATGTAAAATATGTAAATCGGTCATTAAGTTTGTGAATGATCGAGAATAAGTAGGGAAAGGTGGGGGATCTATGCCATTTAAAATAACTTGCTTGTTAATTAATATAGAAAAATGAGGCGAGTGTAAGAGAAATTGAAATACATATTTTTTTCTGTATTTAATATATAGAAGAGACATATATTCTATCTATTATAGAAAGCGATACTTAATGTTTCATTCTATCATATATTAACTGAGATACTGATAATTTATCAAAGCTTTCACTACAATACGTCATAGACATCGTTCCATTAAAGATATCCGTTGTTTCGCGGTATGATACGAAGATGAGTTTCAATCGTAAAAGGTCCATCATAATATGTCAAACATTTCTGACAATTTTTCTACAAGCTCTTCCCTCAATATGTTTTATTTTCTGCACAAATTAAAATAAGTGAAAGAAAATCGTTGTTAGCACGAGTAATCTTTTGTTTCAATTCTTACTTTTACGAAACTATGAAATGAACGCATGGTTGGATCGTGAGGCTATAAGTGGAATTGAACAACATGGTCTATTGTAAAACCATGAAAGCTTCAAGGACCTTAGGGTGTGTTGAAACCTCTGGTAAAGGATTTTTATATCGGATTAAGAGCAGCGTGCTAACACGACTTACCTCGCCGCGGTAATTAGAACGTCCGCATAGCTTAATGAAATCGCTCGTAAATCTATCGAAAGCAGCCTAGCTATCGAATACCACAATACGTTCGGTCAGCACGGTATTCAGCGCGATGCTATCGACCTGCGTATCAGCCTGCGTCAATTTAATTACGCCTAACGATCTTGGCTACGAGGACGTGCTTCCTAGCACGGTGAATATCGATCATTGATATTTTACGATTTATCGGCGCTCGTTGTTCGCGTCATTAGCTTCGCGGAGGTTCGTTTACTTCCATGGCACTCGGGGCCTCGTTTAGATAAGAGGCGACGCTCCTCGCAATTGTGCAGTTTGCAACTAAACGTGAAAATTGAAGCAATCAAAAATGCTTCGTTTCAGCGAGAATTGAAGTAGAAGCGGTACTATACATAACAGTTATTCGGAAATGTTTGATCTTATCAAATTGAAATTTAATTCAAAATTAATTTAATTATTTAATTCGTAGTTCCATGCGAGGAGGATCTCTTAATTCGTTTAAATAAAATTTAAATTCGATTTGAGTAAAGAAAGTTTGATACGAAGAAAATCCGTAATTTTACAAAACGGAATATAATATTACCGTTTAATTTAAAATTGGATAACATTTTCGAATCATCGGAAGCATTGAGCAATTCTCTGATCGCGCGAAATACACATACAGTCAGACATGCCTGCGAGAAAGTTAATGGAGCGAAGTTGGTAATAAAATGTAGAGTAGGAAAGGTGTTGGACACGTAGCGTTAATTAGCATTGGAAATGATAATTTAGAGTCGATTTGTATTCGTGTTAGACATTACCTGTCTGGCACTGGTTGCCTGTAAATCCTTTGGGACACGTGCACTTACCAGGAGAAGTACACGTACCTCCGTTTAAACATGGGGAAGGGCAGGCAGCTGAAAGGCAATTAAATTCACGTACAGCTAACCGATTGACACGCAATTATTCATTATCGACTAATAAATATTTTGCATGTCCATAAAAAGTGTTTGTCCCGTATATCACAATTAGACCGATGAAGTCATTAGTGTCATGCATTTTAAAATCTTGATAAAATCATTAAAGCAATAAAATAGTTTTCAATCACTCACGTTTATTACATCCAAAACTCAAGTGAGTCGCCTGTGTCCATCCAGGGCAGCACAAGAAAACGGAAGGTAAATCGGTCTTAACATTAAATATATTAACATACCTAAAAACAATGGGACTTCATCGTGCGGAATAATACTAATTCTAAATTCTTCGTAACTAGTTTACAATGACAAATATCTTATTTTCCAAAAATGTCTTTTTACCTAACTTGTCCATTTCGATGGTGATGACTAACAGTACTGGGGATCGATCTGGTGCAAACTCGTCTCCTGAAACATAGAGACATAGAAAATAGCTTTATCATCAGCGAAGGGTAAAGAATGTATATTATTATGTATATTATTTCCTTTTGTATGAAAAATTCCAAGAATTTTACATACAAAAGGAAACGGCATATCATACAGCGTTTAATATTCGAGGGACTCTTCTTTGACGTATTTCGAACACGCAAATTCCCGCAGCTCTACATTTGTTATTGAGATTTATGCTGTTTGTACGCGCCTATTGTCAAGCGGTGACGCGATGAAATTAAATTAATGAATCGATTGTTTCGATCGCGATCGATATGACACGACGGTACACGCCTTCATTTACATCTCGTCGAGCCGATATGGAAATCGTTAAGCACGGGGAGTACAATTTCGTTTAGCTGCGTTTTAAATTTCGAGTCGATAAATGCGCAGGTAATACACTTGGAAAAAGGAGCTTTAGGCACGTCGGATGATTGCCTTCGTGTCGTAAGGGATTATTCGATAGCTTCTGCTGTAACTGATCTGCTTTGACAGATCAGCTTTTATTACTTGCATCGTAATTCAATTGATTTTATTGTAATCGACTCAGCCGGTCTGATCGATCGATACACGCCCACGATTTCGATTCAGACGATTTCGAATAAACTCATTAACAAATTCTTTTCATCCTGCGCTTTATATGCATTTGAATTTCATGTTTTTTCTATTTAAATGTATGAAGCTTTCTGATGTAAATCGCGCGCCTTTTGTTACAATTTTGGACTTTTATTGGCCCTTTTGATACTACTTGGTCACCAGCATATCCGTGAATGATTAAACGATAGAAAGATATTTTTTTGAACAATACCATGATTTCTTATTCGAAAGTCATGGTATTATATTATAAGGACATAAGTAAGGTGAATTTAAAAAATATTAGAGGAGTCTGCTTGTTAAAATTGATTCAAAGGACATAATATTACGATAAATGCTATAATATTCAATACTGAAATTGCTCCTTTCCCTCGGTGCTTGAATATTCCGCGCAGAAGAGAATACACGACGCTTCGGTTTACATAAATGCGCGAGGATCATCCGTAATTGAACATTGAAAGTTTCTCGGAGTGTCATTTACACTGGAAACTGTCGGCCGGTTTCAAGTACAATAACTTAGCTGGCAAGATGTCCTTGGTTGGTTAAGGGGTATTCACTTCTAGTACTTCCGTTTTCACTCTCATCAACCATTCCATCGCGTTTACGTCTTGAACCAACATTACCAAAAAGAAAGATATTCTTTCCTGTGAACATATCAATACAATTCTCAAAACGATTTCAAACATGCTTCATTTCTCACTGACGCATAAAAGTTGGAAAATTGAAATTTTTACGGTTTCATAGCAAACGCCCATATAATCCCATTTATGTTTTTTTTACCTGTTAATTTTATCCTGTTAATGGTAACCTGTTAAACGAGTTGGCTCGTCACTCAAATTAGATATAATATCCAACATCTCGGGTATAATAATAATTCTTGACCTAACTGCAATTAACTTTTTTCTCTACGAATCTTTAATTCTACAATTGCAGAAGTTTCTGGGTAAGTAGCCGCGCAACGATCAACGGATGAAACTTGTCGTGCTCATCCTGTGTAATCGGCGAGTATTAACGCGAAAAGTGGAAGATCGGACAGTTACAATCTCGAACTTGCTGAAATCGCTATTTTCTCCGGACGGTTCGGACGTCTCGGGTAGAAATTACTCAAACGGGAGAGGACGGGGCGCGATTCTGTGCGCACGAAGAGTATCCACGCGCGTATCGCGCGCATAATTGGGCGACGAGAGGCGATCCTCGGCGCGGCGAGGAACCACTTCGTCATCATCTCGAACCGCGAGAAAATTGCATCTTACCGTGTCGCTGTCATGTTCATTGAAACGCGACACGACGTTTACTGTCGCAACACCGCTTCACGTCCTGAGACGTTTTCTTGCTCCGTGCGCCATTTTGTTCGTGACGAAGATATGCCAAGGGCGCGAGGAAGTTGTTCAAACAAGAAAGTTGCTCTCGTTAAAAGAGAGCCTTAGACCAAGGGGGGAAAAGTTGTTCTCTATTTAGAAACGAGTATCGTCCGCTCTCTTCAAAATTGAATAAATTAATCGCGTTGGAAGGTATAATTTCATAATTGGCTAAATTTAGTTATAATCAGTGCGATGATTTTTTTCCCTACTAATTATTAACTAATTATTAAACCGAGTTTCAATAGCTGACATTTGTGAGTTTGTACTAATGTTTACTTGCTTATAAACTATTTGCCTTTAGATTTCTCAGTTTCCAAGTTGTTATGATCTCTTCCTGGGGCTAGGTCAGCGTGTTGCTCAGATCCGTGCAGGTGTTTAGAACAAAATGAGGGCTTTGAACGACGTCGAGGATAAAATCTGTCTGTTAAAAACGATATGTCCGTATTTTCCTACAGATTGTGTATGCGATCGTGTGTGGGATCAAAGGTATTAGCGCGGCAGGTGATCCAGGTTAGTGAATCGTGTGTTCCGTCAGACATGTGTGTCTGACGTTGGCTCATTCCCCTTGAGCCAAATCGTGGCTGGCTATAATTTTCGCCATGACGGAGCACATTGTTCTCGCGTCGACTAAAATCAATCCCTTCTCTTAGAAACCGTGGATTCCAATTTACACGTTGTTGATTTACATAGAAATTGCTTCTATATAGTGTTCACGTAACGCAACAGAAACATAAATTTAGAGTAGACATAAATTAGAAAAGTAAACTAGAGTCAAAGTAAATCGAAGGAAGCAAAATAAAATAACATTTGTAAAGCACAATTGAAAGATATAAGTTATCTCGTTTTCTTTAAGTTTTCAAAGTTGTTAGACCCGTCGGCTGTTCCAAGATCATACTGGTTGATAAATTATGGACACTTTCGAACGCCTACGTAGATAATATTTCGTTTGACTTTGGATGTGACGTGATAAGTCCCCGTGCAATGATCGCGATCTATTCACTGTAATTCGGAAAAATGAATGTCCTCGCTGTCGCGACGAACACGCATCAAATCGTTCCTAGAGCGTATTCCCGTTGCCAGAAAAATCTCTCGGAACACGTTGCGACGAAGGTTTAGATACGGTTCGGAGGACATTTGCGTGGGAATACTGGTTCGGGTGCTTTGGTGGCCATACTGAACGTTGCGCGTTGATAACGTTCAACGTGCTCGATCCACGACATTGAACGAGAGAAACGAAAAAGTTAAACGCACATTCACGAAAATAATTCGTGTAGGTCGTTGCAACTAACTTGTACTTCAACTATGTAACTGTACGGATTTACGGATCACATTGATTTATTTTCCTAATAAGCGTTCATTTCAAGAAATATCGCTGCTCTTTTGCTAAATATTATTTACTCTCTTCATGCAAAGTTTGATACCGCGTTTTAATAAAAATTTTTAACTCAATAACGTTTTATTTGTCAGTGTTTTGTGTCGTCTGCAGAATTTTCGTAGCAATTTCTTCTACTCTACTAGAGTATTTAGCGATTGAACTTTGACAATTAAGAATTTAAACGCGGCCAGAATCGATCAGATTGAAATTTCAGCTGACGGAATCTTTCTATAAATTCGTAGAAAATTTTCCGACGTGAAGAGCAATTAAAATTCAACGCACGGTTCAATTTCAATTCAATACGTATGTATGTACTTGTAACTACTATAGACGTTACATAATGTACGAACGTAACTTGTACTTGTAACTCGAAGGCGTTTCACTTTTCATCGTACAGGCCTAAGTTCATGGAGAACGAGAACTTCGTACGTGTTCTAGGAACTTTCTCCGTTAGCGAAGAACCGGCTAGAGACAGAGAGAGAGAGAGAGAGAGAGAGAGAGAGAGAGAATTAAAAAGTTGAGGAAATATACGAAGAAGTCGCTTGTAATAAAATTAATGTGGATTAACGATATGGAGCGGACGAAGGCGCCGTCGCGTGATACCACTTGCAAACGTCTTCGAGGTGATAAATTTTCAATGAATTACCGCATTGACGGCTCGCGTGTCCGCGACTCTTCTTAGAGGTACTTCCGAAACCTTAACGGTGATCTTGCATGTTTCCCACTTCTAGCCGAGCGGCGGTTAAACGCAGCGTCGAGTTATGCTGGCCATTCGTTATTAAGCTCGCCCAGCTGATTATCTGTTGCTCACGCTGCAATATTTTCACGACGATAGTTGTGAACGATGTTCTGTGAAATCAGACGTTCACTGGATCGGCGATACGTCACATAGATCCTGATCTCGAGAGAAGATGTTGAAAATACAAATTTTTCTGTCCGTACAGAATCTATAAACGTGCAAATACTTTCGCGGGCACTGTACATTGATTGTGGTATAAAAATTGAGCGTTAAATCCTTCATTTTTGAAATCTAATAACGATCCAGCGCCTGTTATTCGTTCTACTTCATAGAAACATTAACATAACTTTTCAACTCATAATCACGCTCAAGAAATCGAAGAAACATTTTCATCCTTGAGACTTGAAGGCTCGTATTATCGAGAAAAAGAAATCGCAGAACACGGTTTCAGTTAGTCGGCAATTATCAGACACGTATTATCACGCGCGTATTCTATCGCAAATAAAAATATGTGGCTACGTTAAAGATGTACAACAAATGAGATCACTCTACGAACCGGTTGATACATCGGCATTACGAGAATCAGAAGAAAAATTCGAATAACACGTCGCGTACATTATCGGTGGTAAAATCTATATGTTGGGTCGGCTGGTACCAATTAATCTCGCATCCCCGATCGATCTTTAATTGAATCATAAATATTCAACCTCAGTTCCCTTTAGTAATACTCGTAAAACAGTGAGCGTAATTACAGACACACAGGGCGAATTTTTAACCTGTATGAGAAACTGTATGTTATCGTCTTACGCCGGTAAACCATCGTCGCGCGATGTCGCGAACGTGATAACATGTTTTGCACGCTCGTTTCGATGTTCCCGCCAGTGATAAATATATTGACTCTTTATTATAT